AGTCTCCAGACTGATCTGCGAGTGAAACCTTGAAAGCTCGCGAGATCAGGATGGTCTCATGAGGCTACTAAAGATCTGCAGCTTTGCTCTGAGTACCTGCAGCTTCTTCAGCTGTTTGATGGCTTCATCCCTGCCTTTGTTGGCAGCTTCAATCTGACCCTCCAGCTCGTTCAGGTCCACCTCCAGCTTCTTCTTGGCAGCGACAGCCACAGATCTCTGCTTCCTCTCATCCTCCAGCTCAGCCTCCATTTCTCGCACCTGGAGGAGAATAAAAACAACATGTCTCTAAATATAACGGCCGGAGCTCTTTGGAGACATGAAGCGGACGTTCTGAGGTCGAACCTGTTTCACCAGCGCTCTCTTCATCTCCTCTCCCTGCTCGTCCTTAGACTGCAGGTCTCGATCGAACTGGGCCTTCATGGCCTGCATGTTGACCTCCAGACGTAGCTTAGCGTCCTCCGTGGCCTGCAGCTCGTCCTCCAGCTCCTCCAGCTGCGTTCTCATCTCCGCCACCTGTTGCTCCAGGGTTCGCTTGGACTTTTCCAGTTCATGGACCTGAGTGCATCAACGGGACAATCAGTGGTTGTTTTTCAAAATCAACATTTTAATTTTACTTTGACTCCAAATTAAATTACATTTAGCTTTTTTATGTGAAATAAAAACAATAACATTTTGGACAAAAAAGAAAAACCAACCTTTAACAGAGGGGGGGACTCAGAATTTTTAAAACTTCACAAGTTTGAAACCTACAATTGTTGAATTGTAGATTTTCCAAAACCTACAATTCAACAATAGACTTGATCCCTTCCTGCTATCATTGCAACCCCTTTACAGGTGAACAGAAGACCTCGCCTATTCAGCCAGGCCAACTATTCCCTTCAATGACCCCCATTTCAGAGACATAAACAGGTTTCAGGTATTAAATGCTAACAAAGAAACCCAACGACAGGTTCAATATGCAGGTTTTCTGAACCAAAAACCTGGAACTTGTAACAGAACCACTATGTTATTTTCAGAGATGGGAAGTAACGAAGTACAAATACTTCGTTACTGTACTCAAGTAGATTTTTCTGATATTTTT